GTGGCAAGAACTACGCCACAGTAATCATATCTATAATAAACGCACTGAAAACATTACTCTCACAAACTCACAATTAAATAACTCAAAACACAAAAACCCCAAAAAATAAACATAGCCTATGTTTAACATTATTTATACATGTGACCGCTCCATTTATATGTCTAATTCAGTAACAGATATTTGTCAAATAAAGGTCATTGTCAAATCAGTTGTTGATAATGCCATATAGCAATATTATGACCTAATCAAAATTGAAGATTCGAACTTCTAATGTTAGGACATTAAGGATTTGAAAGTCCTCTTTTCCTCAAACTTTGAAGCGACACCTGGTGTCAGTGGTGAGCCCTAATAAACTTCCAAAAAAAAGAAGATTAAGAACAACTTTTGTTAGGCTGTCAGTTGTCATTTTAAATGTCACTTGTTAGATATATTACTAATGTAAGGTGAAGTAAATAATTGTTATTTAAACTTTTCGGTCCTATACCTATGATATAGTGATATTTTATTTGTTAGCATTTCATATTTGAACAACAAAAATGTCTGATGAATTGCAAAATTATCAACTACAACTGCAACAAGTAGAGGCTGCTCTTTTGACTGATCCAAATAATCAAGAACTACAAAAGCTCAAAATCGATTTGAATGAGGTGATAGAACTCACTTTAGACCTCAAAAATAAAGCTGAAGAAGCTGCCAATCAACCTGAATACACCGAACCAGTAGGAGTTGCAGAAGATGATGAAATTACAAAATCTCTTCTTGCTGTTGAAGAGTTTGTTGCAAGAAATAGAGCTAAAAAAATGTGGAGGCTTGGTGACACGTGCATGGCCAAGTGGAATGATAATGGACAATACTATGAAGCTAGGATAGATGCTATAAATCCAGACGGACAGGTAAATGTAACATTTGAAGCTTTTAAAAATCGAGGTGTTACTACTCTTTCGGAACTTCGTGAATTCACAGGTCAGAAACGAGTACTTTCAGAATCGGAAAAGATAAAGAAAGCAAAAATGCACAACAAAGAATATCTAAAGAAAAAAAAACTCAAAAAGCAGCAACGATTCAAACAGTTCGAGGATGAAAGAGAGGGGGAGAAGAAAAAGTGGCTTGCGTTTGCGAGTAAAGCAGTTAAAAACAAGAAAACGGGTCTGAAAACTAAAAGCATATTTGCAACTCCTGAATCTGTGAATGGTCGAGTGGGAATTGGAACTTGCGGAATTAGCGGTAAACCTATGACAGAATTCACTACTGCTGAAAAGTGGAGGAAAGGTGTGTATATTAAATTAATGGATAAATAATTGATTGTTGAAATTCCGAATACAAAAACGAAAATAGGTCGTTCTTTTTGCATTGCTGGAAAAAAAACACAACTATTTTAATAGATACGTTGCATTACGCCCTTCTGTTATCAATCATCAACGTTTTTTACTGAAACACGGAATCAAAGGATTATACAGGTCACTGCTTCAGAAGGTGTTCTGCTTCTTTCCTAGCAGAATCAGGAGCAAATATAACGGATATTAAGAAGCACGGGAATGGAAGTCTACAACAGTAGCTCAGAATTTCATCGATCAATATATTTTATATGTAAAGGCTATTGTTGAAAGAATAATCCCTCCAGCGTTACAATATCCTCCACTTCAAGAATTGAATGTTAATGCCCATGAAATTATCAACTCAGATAGTTCAAATATATTACAAGGCTCTTCAACATCACAAGATATTAATATCAGCAGTTGTTCTACTTGTACTTTTCATATTATTGTTCATAAATAATAATAATAATGTAATTGATGTATATAATACATTCGTACCAGAATTTAATTGCATCTATATCTATTGTTCATAATAGAACTTCCTTGAAAATTGAATAACTATATTTTGTTTATTGCTATTTGGTCGAGAAAAATCGTTTTGAAAATACTTTTAACACGCCACTTTGTAAACATCATCTTTTAATACTCTATACAACCATTAAAAATGTCACTTTTAATGACATTTGTACAAAAAACAGTTTTCGGACATTTTTCTAGACATCATTCCGGATCGAATGAGCCATCGCAGGTATTTTTTCGACTATTATCTCTATTTTTCTCCATCTTCACTTATATTATTCTGAACACAATTCATTGTGTGCCGTTCTACGGAAGCGCAGAAGGGCCACATATTTTTATTATTTGTTTCTTGGAAATTACGACTTTCAATCTCGAAATTTCGACTTTTATCTCGAAATTTCGACTTTAATCATCGCAATACAGAAAAAAAAGTCGACAATTCGAGTTTGAAGTCGTAATTTCGGAATTACGAGTTTAAAGTCGAAATTTCGAGATTAAAGTCGAAATTTCGAGATTAAAGTCGAAATTTCGAGATAAAAGTCGAAATTTCGAGATTAAAGTCGAAATTTCGAGATAAAAGTCGAAATTTCGAGATTGAAAGTCGTAATTTCCAAGAAACAAATAATAAAAATATGTAGCCCTTCTGCGCTTCCGTACCTTTCAAACCGTACCAGTAATATCTTCATACATGAGAAATAAAATTACTAACTTAGCTGTAACTTCAACGGCACCAACGCAAGGTACAGGTATTTTTATTGCTGTGGATTCCGTTTTCTTTTCCAACTCGGGCATTATTCGATCAACAAATTTTTGACTTGAGGTCGACACGATTGGGAAGAAACTATTCAGACATGATCTGCTGCTTCGGCTGCTGATTGCACCGTATCCCTCGTCAAGGATTTTGTCATGATTGTTCAAAGGTTCCAAAGTTGTCACTATTGCTTCCTAAAATATTTATTCAAGTTGTCAGCATATATAGCACAAAGCAACAGATTGTTTGTTGCATGAAATATTATGACTGAAACTATACATTTTTGGGGTGCTGATTTTGGATCTGAAGTCAGATTTTTTGTACCAGCTTTAGTTTTTGAGATATAAGACAAACGTGATTTTCAAGAAAAATATTTCACTTAAAAACAATAATCAGAAAAACAAGCATCATTTATCAAAATATTTTCTTTCATACGCTTTTTTTGCTTGAGTTGGTTCACAAGGGCTATTTTTAATGCTCCAGCAGTAGTCCACAGTCATGTGGACATCCCAGTGAGCCTAGTACGGCTTCTCTATATTTAGGATATCTTGATGGAACCGTTTTTCTTGTTCTTCACTCAGATCAAAAATATTATGATTCAGATATCAAATAGAATAAAATAATCATTATTATTCCATGGTTTTCGTATATATAAAACATTACTGAATAAAATAAACACAAAAAATATCTGAAACTTCTGATGAAAGAAATAAATTAATATTTATAATTCACAATTTTGTGTAATAAAATCTACAATAAATTGGTACACTAAATAAAANTAGGACAAAAATAGTCGTTGAATAAAATAAACACCTGTAAACTTCTGAATAAGAAAATTAAATTAACATCAATAATTCACAATTTTGTATAAATGAAAACTACAGACAATTAGTACAATAAAGTGTCAATGAATAAAATACACTCAATATAAAATAAAATAAAGACAACAAACATCTGAAAGTACGATGTTTATATGAATAAAAGCATTTAACTTTTTTTTACTCTTCTATAACATAACGTATTTCCTTTCTTTATATTTCTGTTAAGAATGTTTTCAAATGTTTCTTGAATGTTTTGAGAGAGGTTCAATTTTCAGTGTCCGGCAGGTATTGAACAATTTCGGGGCTATGTAACTGAAACTTTTTTGTCCGACTGTTTTATTAATTTTTTGACTAACATACCTATTTTTCTGTCTCTATAACTGTAGGAATGGGTAAGTATATTGTTTAATAGATACTTGTACGTTATAGAGTTGTCTTACGTCCATTACTTATGTTTCAGAGTAAAGGGATTCACTAGAATATCTTAGATCTTTTTGCAGAATAATTTTGAGAAATCTTCTTTGACAGACTTCTATCAAATTCAGGTAATTTCGTGATACACCTACCCACATAATTCAAATGAGTTTCCACTAAAATTTTGTACAGAATTTTATTTTGAGGTCTAGATTATAAATGAATTGTTTAAATCTGAATAGTATAAAACGTAGTTTTTTTACAAGATGTAATATATGCTCATTCCATCTCAAGTGTGGATCTAGAAATATTTTATTTTTTTCACAGGTACAATTTTGAAATCTTCTTTAATGGTTAAATTATAGTGGGGAAGAGATATTTGAAGAATACTGAACGGTAAGTAATGTGTTTTTTAAATGTTCAGCAAGAGAAGTTTACTGTCGAACTATTTTTGAAAATTTTTCAGGTCATCTTTCAGGTCAAATTCAATTGCGAAATCTTAGCTAGTGTTTTCTGTTGTTTGGTGTGGTCCGTACCTATAGCTTGATATCGTCCATACATGAGGTAGTTTAGAGTGTGTTGTGTTTTTTTTTCGGTTTTTAATTTGAAAACCATGACTGGTGCTGTTTAGTAATTTTGATAAGGGGTTTAGGCAGAGGCAAAACCAAAGTGCTTTAGTGCGTTTCCCTATATGATGCCTATTCGTATTTTTATTTCTTCTGTGTGGATATCTGTATTTGGGATGTCTGTGATGAGATGGATTGTACTTTTCCATGTTTTCATAGTGTTGGCTAAAAATTGTGTAATTGTGCTTGGTATTTTGTATATTTCTAGTTCTTGTTGTAACCAGCTGTGTGGGACTCAATCGAAAGCTTTTACTTCCGAGTCCAGGATATAAATACAGAGATTGTGTATATAAATTACTTCATTTCAATTTTCATTACAATTATAGTGTTCGTTTCGGATGTTATCTTTGCTATCATTTCTCTTTCTGCTTATTAAAACTCATAAAATATATATTTGATGTAGATATGTTTCAGATAATCATAAAGCAATAAAAAAATATGAATAGGTACCTAAAAATGAAAAGAAACTCTCGAAAAACTCTACGGTACATAGGGAGACGTGAAAGTTGCTATTGTGTTTTTATTCAATAGCCAGAAACACGTGTCCGCGGTTTGCCCCTTTTTTGAGTGTTTTGTCTACAAATTTTCCCTTTTGATCTATATCATACACACTCAATTACATCTTTATCTCTATATGTCTAGTCTCTAGTCAAAAGCCCGTGTTTCGGGTTTTTGACCCATCGTCAGTATGGTGCAGCCAAGTGTAAAGATGGGCAACACTTGGTTACCAAGAGATAGAAATACAAATGCTGGTGGCTCCGTGCAGCCACAGGACATAACCACTGAAATGTACACCGAAATAAACAATAGCCTTCCCTATATATATAGAAATACTTGACCCACCCATGAAATTGTAATTGATACTGGTAGTATCAATTTCAATTTCATGGGTGAGTCAATTTCTAACTCCAAATTCTTGACTATCATCGACATGTTCTCGAGATACGCTCAAGCATACCCCCCGAACCCATTTGCACGCAAGCGTGGCTTTCGACAATTTAATGACTTTCATTGCACATCACTGCCCAGTCTCTGAATCCCCAAATCAATCACGTGTGAGTGGCACTGAATTCAAAACTCTTTAACTCAAAGACTTCTGTACCCTATACAATATCAAAATTCATTTTACAACACCCGGGAATTAAAATAATAACCCCCCCAGTGGAAAGACCTCATTCCGAACTGATTGAAAGTTCAGAGGTCTTAAAATGAATGACCAACGAGAAAGCCCAAAACAATCAATCCAATACGCTATAGTTGGGTATAATTCCACAATTCACAGTGTCACGAAACAAAAACCTTTGGACATTATTCACGGACTTCCCGCCTCGACCAGATATTTTTCTCGAGAGAATATATCTGGTTGAAGCTGGGATGATTCTGCAACCGTGTTAGGAATCACACGTTAAAAGGTAAGACCTCGTTAGTCCTTATATAGCTCGCACAAGTTTCTCAACTTCTGAGAGTGGTCGATCGTATGGGGGCGACAGCTGATTAACGGAATAACAGATTTTACAAACAGACAGACAGATTTTTAAAAACCTATTCTATAACTTTGTATGTACCTAATGCCAAGAATTCTATAT